AAAAAAAAAAAAATTAAAAATAAATGTAATTTGTAATTTAGTAAAAATATTTTATTTTAAATCAAATCATATAATCATTTTATCTTTATATTAAGTACACTGTAATTGTCATATTATCATCATTACACATCCCAATTAAGTTGTTTCCAAGAAAAATAATATTACATTTATTATCCAATCACATCCACATAATAAATAAATAAATAAGAAATGGATATCACATGACATGTAAATTTTTAGAAACAAACGTAGTAAATATTTTCGTTCTATTATTTATATATATATAAAAAAAATGTATGTATTATGTGGTGTTAACTCTTTGTGAAATATATTAGTTTAGTCTTTTTCTTATAGTTTTTATCATAGTTTACAAAATACAAACTAAGGATGACAGCGGTTCGGGTTCGGATCGGATGGAACCTCAGGGCACCCAAAACCAAAACCCAAACTTACAAACCAAAACCAAAACCAAAACTGTTTCGGGTGAAAATCCTTCACCAAAATCAAAACACGCGGATACCCAAAAAACCAAACGGATACCCAAAAAACCAAAAATATTATAATAAAACACCAAAGACAACAACATAAAACATGATAACTTAGAGAGTACCAGGCAACCAGTCACAAATTAGCAAGTACCAACGTACAGTACAAGCCATAAAGGTAGTAGAGTACATAGCTAAGCCAAGCCATCACGGGAGACGGGGAGAGGATAAGAGGGAGAGGAAATTTCCACTTATATAGCTAGGGTTTTTGGTGGCTTTTTGATGGGCCGTCTATTTTGGGCACCCAACGGAGCACCACGAGTGAAATATAGGATCCGCACCAAAACCGAAGACTTTCGGGTACCCGAAACCGCAAAACTGTGGGTGAAATTTGAGAACCAAAACCGAAAACCGCAGAACCAATAACCGCGGATATCCGAACCGAAACCGAACCGCTGCCATCCCTAATACAAACGGTTAATACTGATTTATAGTAAATAAATTATCATGGTTTGGAAAATACTAATATTTGATATCGATTTATGTATTCCATGAAGCGCATTTTGCAACCGATCATTTGGCATCCTTCGACGGGTGAATCGTTGGAGTATCATTTCTTACTTGTTCCACCAGATGGGGTTCGACAGTAGCTCTACCATGATCTTACTAGCATATCTTATTCGCGGGCCGTGTGCAACTTAAACCGATAGGCATCGGCATCTTTTTTTTTTTTACAA